TCAGACCATTCGCATAGGCGGTTCAGTCCTTCTTGCAGGGCCCGTTCATCATTTTCCCCGTTGATCGCTCGCCATAACTTGATGTCATCGGCAAACATGACTCCATTGCAGTCCAGTCCATTCATACAGTCGTTGACAAATTAAAAATAGTACTGGTCCGGGTACAGAGCTCTGGCGAACTCCACTCACGACTGGCACTGGCGATGACTTCGCACTACCAATACACACAGATTGTGATCGACCAGTCAGAAAGTCCTTTACCCAGTTTAAAAGGTTTTCCCTTAGCCTTGACATTATTCGACGAATAAGCTGATCGCAGAACATGCAACAGTACTATCTCTAGGTGTGTCTCAGCGTCGGACTGGCGAACCGCGCCTCCGATAAAATGTTATTAACAAGGCTCTTTCACTCTGACGAATGCCACCCCCCATTGAAAGAGGCCTCCACCACAGAAGTCTGGGACCTATAAGTCGTGTGTCGTTTCCGAATAAAAGGACAACATTAGACAACTCCTCAACTGAGCTACCCCACGCACTTGCTGTTCAGCTAATCACTACCGTAAGGGGCTATATTCGGACCGAATCCTTATGCTTACCGCGTTCTGGATGGATTCGCCAAAGTCAAAGAGCATTGGAAGGAACAGATTCTTGCCCGTACAAGGACAACCAATCGATTCCCCGTCCACAACAGCCTCACTCCTGCGCTCGTCACAACTGCTTGTTATCAGCATGCATTTCAACTGACCACAGTAGCCGTTTTGCTACTCTACGCAGAAAAATCTACCATCTAAGTTTCTAGCACTACGGATCATATTGTTATCTGCTGGAGACGCAGCCGAAGTTGGGGATCCAGTAAGGAGGCTGCAGTGAGGTCATTAGCATTTACTCAGTTTGTGTTTGTGATCGTAGTATGAAGTTAAAATCATACGAACGAGCGTATGTGCACAAATTCATAGTTACCAACCATCCAATCACAGTTAATAGACCAGATGATCAGTCATCTCTCAGAACAAGTGTTGTTTTTACTGATTCTAGCAGTTACAGAATGAAGACTGGGAGTCCTCGTTGAGTCGGCCCCGGCTGCGCATGAACGTCGGTGGGACTACATGTGGCAGCGATGGAAGTTGGCGTAGACGGTTCACCTTCCTCTGGATTGGCGTTTGCCACGTCAAAAGTAAACGAACTTCTGCTAGGTGGGCTCGAGTGGCGGTCCCCCTCGCCGCAACCTAAGAGGTTGACCTTTGAGGCGGTGGAGGGCAGCAGCCGAGACTCATGGGTCCGACGAGAGGGTTTCATCTGATAGTTGGACTGTTGGCTTCCCCAGCAGATGCGACAGGAGGCTCGCGGAGTGGGCG